GTCTTAAAAAATTTCAGAAAAAATTCTGGAAAATCAAAATCCTTGAGGGGGGGGGGCTGCTTCGGCCCACCCTGCCATTCCGCCATACTCACCCCCTCCTTGTTGCAGAGTGCGTCGTGACCCAGGCGCAGATGGAGGCCCTCCAGGACAAGACGAACCGGCAGCTCAGGCTGCGCGAGCTGCTGCTGGAGAACTCTCGGGACGCCTCGCTGGTGGTCATGTCCCTGCCCATGCCCAGGAAGGGCCTCGTGTCCGCGCCCCTCTACATGGCCTGGATCGAGATGCTCACCCGCGACCTGCCCCCCTACCTCCTGGTGCGCGGCAACCACACCTCCGTGCTCACCTTCTACTCGTGAGCGCGCCGAGCCAAGCGCCAACCTCGACGCCGACGACTTGCCCGAGTGCTGTCGAGGGGGCCTAGGAAGCCCAGCCCCGGGAGGACGCTCAGTCTTAATAGGGTCATTTTGGGGACTTCGGCGTCAAAACGTCAATGCCGCTCCGAGGAGACCATATTTCGACTTGAAATGGTCAAAATGGCATCACATAGTGACGTCACTTTTGGACGTTCTCGTTGGGAGCCCACCCCATGTGATATTATGCGCGCCGCCCGCCTCCACGCGCAGGCGCGCGAGCAGCGGCGCGTGCCTGTGTCTACCTAACAAAATATTATTAGAGTGATGTTCCAAAGAGGCATATTATGGTAACTTATTTTTCATATTGTTGATCGTCGATATAAAATGTTTACAGTCCCCTGCAGAAATTTGTTAAAAGAAAAATATATCATGTTTTGTGTGTCGGTGGATGAAAACATTAGGAATCGCAAAGGCATGATGGAAGGTATGCAACACTTTCTGTTTGCGCGCGCATTCCATTTGTACTGATAAGCGTATATATACAGAGCGTGCAATGCACTGGAGTGCAACATAATTTCAACTGATCAATTAATGTTAATACAGAAAAAAATGTGCCAAGTAGGCCTAGTCTTTCCCTGAAAGTATGTGTTTATTTTTTAATTTTATTAGGTAGTTAGATCTTTTCCAGTGAGATTTTTTTTCGACGTTTTTGTTTTTGACGCCGGTTTTTACGCCGTTATCAATACGGAAGTGGTTCTGAAATCGACGGCTTTTCGACAGTCGACATCGAAACGAAATCGTCTGTTGAAAAAGCGTCGATTTTATGGTCACTTTCGTATTGCCACGGACGTGAAAACCTATGTCAAAACGATGTCGTCGGAACAATTTCTTACAGAGATTACCCAGTACTTATCGATGCGCTCACTATTTCGACAACGATTTTCTGATGTAGAACGCGTCATTCCATCCTGTTATTTATTTTGCACATTGTCTCCGGACCTTCAGCCACCATCTGCCGAGCTTTATACCGTCGATGAACTACGTGGAGTCGTGGCCACAACCACCCAAATCAGTATTGCGGAAGAAGTACAAAATCTTCCTTTGTGTAGTTGTTTTGTAAATATGCTAGATATTTTGTGATTGTTTTAGATATGTTTAGAACCACTAAGTGCATGAGTTCGAGTGTGATTTTGAGTGCGTGTGTGCTATGAAAGATAGGTAAGTAGATTTACTTGAATGAATTGAGAATTTGTTTTGAACCAAATCCAGAGTCCTATTTATTGTTTGACTTGGTGTAGATCATCTGTGTAAAATGATCTGCTAACGCTGTAAAATTGTAATAACAAATAAAAAAATTAAAGAGTCCATCACTGTTTTTTCATTTAAAACTGACATCCTGAGTAAAATCGTGATGTTCATTAAAATTACCTGTAAAGACTCTGACGTGATTTGCCTGCCAATCAAGCAGTAGCTATTCAATTAAGAACTCACGCTCAGTGGAGCGTGGCCCACCCCCACCCCTGCGCGTGTGTTCCTGCAACCTGCGCATTCCTTACGCGCGATGCTAGGGTGCCATTGGGTGCCATACCGGGTGTTGCATAAAAGACACAGGTGCGGGCGGGCTTGCCTACCCGCTCTGCCCGTAAGGCGCCATAGCCCCCTGGGGTAGGCAAACCCGCCCGCACCAA